ATGAAGGGCATGTACCCATCATTAACCTGATGAAGGGCATGTACCCATCATTAGCCTGATGAAGAGCATGTACCAATTATTAGCCCAATGAAGGGCATGTACCCATTATTAGCCTGATGAAGGGCATGTACCCATCATTAACCTGATGAAGGGCATGTACCCATCATTAGCCTGATGAAGAGCATGTACCCGTTATTATCCAGATGAAGGGCATGTACCCATTATTAGCCTAATGAAGGGCATGTACCTGAAACTTAGAAAATAAAATAAGATTTTGTTATAGACATGTGTTTTAACTTTTTCCAATATTGTCTAACTTACCAGACTCTGAGGGGCTACAGAGGGCCAGATAACTTTGTTGTTTGGATCATACATAGGATTCAGGTAAGTGCCAATGATTTCTGGCCGATTCACGTGAGACCTGATGATAAACAATACAGTTGGTACAAAAGACAAGTTGCAAATATTTTACAAACAAAACAGGTCACAAGAGAAGTTTCTCTGACTTCTACTAATAATATGGAAATATGTCAATAGTAATGTCTACAATGGTATACACTAATAATTCTTGATAAAACAAAAAGATTTTTACAAAATATAACGGAATTGTGTTTTCCTACATGCATTAAACACCTACTTTTAAGTTGTTTTTGGAGGAAAGTGCTTTACTCGAAATTCCAGCACATTAAGTTAAGCTCAAAATTAAGTTTTCAGTTTGAAAAAAAAAGTACTAAAAACTGAAATCTTATTTGAGGGTGAAACTTAATTCATTTGTCAAAAATAGTTTAAATAACAACAAGGCATCGAAAATTCTGTCTTTAGTTACCAGTTGTAGTGTGAAATCTTATGAGTTAACTAAGTAATGTTGAAATCTGTAAACATACAAGTTAAACTGGTTTCAATAATTATTCATCACAATGACAGTGTAAACAGCTTGAATTGACTGGAAAATTGTCATTAATGTTTTAAAATGGTAACATTACAGTAATTTGATTAGATGTCACAGGCTTATTTTAATTTCATTTTCTGTAATATGAGCACTTAAAATTTTTCTATGTGATTAATTGAAGCGCTATGACAGGCAAGTTTACAGAAAGAGTATACACAGGTATAAACAAGAAACTTAAAAAAAACTAAAACTTTGATAAGAGAAAGAAATATGACATCTGCACACTATAGTTTAGATTGAAAAGTCTTAATAAAAACTAATAAATTATACTTGCCCTAAGACTTTAATATTAAGCACATGATGTTTTTAATACTGCATTATGTATCTAGTCCCTTAGGGATTTTCAAGAATTAGAAGAGTGTATAATAATTATATTCCAACCACACTAGGTTCGCCATATCTCTTATCACTGACGTGCCATCAGGCCAGTTGGGACACAACAAAGAAGTAGTGGTCATAACACCACTATTAATATAAGCCATTCGTTACAACAACAATTGTTGTGGTGCGAACACCTTTTACAAGCTGACAAGACATGCCAGCTCCAGTTGGGACACAACAAAGAAGTAGTGGTCATAACACCACTATTAATATAAGCCATTCGTTACAACAACAATTGTTGTGGTGCGAACACCTTTTACAAGCTGACAAGGCATGCCAGCTTAAGGCATTCATAGCATAAAACAAGCTAATAAACTTAATTCTTGTCATACTTTAAACACTTTGTTTCATTAAGTGAACAACCTCCTTATTGTTTTTAACCTAGTCAAAATATAAAATAACAATTAACCATTTAAAAAAATGATGGCATTTACTCCAATATTGTGCAGCAAATGACATTAAAATCCCCAATTCTAATAATTCCTAAACACACACGCACACACAATTACTTTACTGTACGGGACAGAGCCGAGTCTAACCCATTAAGTGTGACGATCTGACATAGTATGTAAAACACTACTTGACATATTAATTACTTACCACACCTTGACATTCATTAAACAGTCATATCAAAATACTGACATACACACAAAAATCATTACTGTGATACATGACATTAGGTGCCTGCAAATGCCATGTACTAAAAAATAAAATATATATGATACATTTAAAGTTACACATACCACAATGAGACTGTCTTTTGAGCGAGGTTCAGTTCTTTTCTTTCTTTGTCACAGTTCCCGAGAAAGGTACCTTTGAAAAAAAGCCTAATTTTAATTCATACTTTTATGTAATAATATGTCAACCAATATGTAATATGTAATAATATGTAATAAAATGTAATAATATGTAATATGTAATAATATGTCAACCAATATGTAATATGTAATAATATGTAATAAAATGTAATAATATGTAATATGTAATAATATGTCAACCAATATGTAACAATATGTCAACCAATATGTCATATGTAATAATATGTCAACCAATATGTAATAATATGTCAATCAATATGTAATATGTAATAATATGTAATATGTAATAATATGTCAACCATACCATATCTGCTATATCCAGTGGTGACGAAGTCTTTTTCCCAATACAAGGGCTCATAAGCTCAGCTGAGATTAAATGGAAATAGCAGTGGTGAAGATGCTATTTATGTCAACTGTTTGAACAACAACTGTTTTGGTGTGAACTAGGTTAAGCTGATGAATTACAATCTTTACACATTTTATTTAACACATCACAATGAGGTATATAATTTTTATTAACATTAAATTATTTATTTATTTCAACATCAAATTGTCTAGTATCAACAACATTTATTTTCATTTATCTTTATTTGAATTAATTTTAACTCTTATTCAAAAGAACTGGAAAATCAGTAAGCTAGTCTTAAACATGATACTAAACTTCACATCAAAGCAAATTTATAAATCATGAACAAATAAATACAATTAAAGAACTGTAAGTTTATCAAAAACATACAAGTCAAACGTTAAGACAAACTAATTTTAATTTTTCTAAATATATGTTTCAAATTTTGCTAATTTTCTAATTTGTTATATTCAAAATAATTTATTAAAGTGAAAAACGTAACATTTAGACCACTGACAGGCTGCAGTAGGACAGTCAAAATTTACCATGATTAGAATTGCCAAGTCACTGATACGGGTTAATTTGGGCATATTTCATCATGATAATGAAAACAATGATTAACATAATTTATGTTTTAATCTTACTGGAAAGTTAAAAATACGAAATCGAACAAGATTAAAGATTCTAAATGTTATGGTTTCCAAGTTGTACTAGTTTAAGTTTCAAAATTTTAATGAAAGCATTCTTTTCACAATACAGCACTCAATAAACAAAGTCAACAACAATGAAACAAGATCTTATGTTGCTTATAAGATTGTGTAATTCACTGAAGGTTTTTCCATTTTAACAAATCACACAATATCTTTCACTTGACTTGCAAGTTTGGCTTTAAACCGATTCATCAAATAATGATCTACTAATGATTATAAAAACATATTTACATCTAACAGAAATTTGTGTAAAAAAAATCAGTTATACTGAATTACAAAAAATAAAATAGGAATATATTAGGCAACAGACAGAAAGAGTGTCATCCATGTACGCATGGCAAATTAAAAAATAAAACTTAAAATGCTGGAAATAAATGTGTGAATTATGGATGGTGAAGCTACAATTAGCAGTAAACATACTTCCTGATATTAGATTATTAATTACCATTAAAATAAGTAACCAAGAATCGCAGTGTCTGAAATTAGGTTACAATACATCCACTTCTTAGTAATACGCACCAAAAAAAAAATTCATAATCCTTTAAAATGTTATACAAGTTAATTGGAGTTTTTAAATTTAAATGATATCTTATACATGTCACATGTAGGATAAATAGCCAGCTTAGACACCCGTTTAGTTCAGGTACTGACATTTTTTTAATTTCTGCCCTAATGACTATAGCTTCATGCACAAGATTTTAGTAGGTATGAAACACTAACAAAACAATCTTACCAAACTGTGAAGCATAGCTATGCTCAAAAAGTAAAACCAGGAACTGTTCATTGAATTCAAAGGAACATGCAAACTGTTGGTGAATCTATAATGTAGAAAAAAAAAAGTATACATATATATATATATATATATACATATATATACTACATCTGACACTGTGTACCTGATCAACAAAGTTTAAAGCCATGAAATTCTTTAAATATATCATAAAAATTTTAATATTGTTATTGATCAACTAATGTGGTTAAAGAAAACAGCTCAATTTCATATTCATAAATAAATAAACTGATTCAGGAGAAACGTTTCAGTTTTATATCCCTTTATTCAGGAGAAACGTTTTGGTTTTATATCCCTTTATTCAGGAGAAATGTTTCAGTTTTATGTCCCTTTATTCAGGAGAAACGTTTCAGTTTTATGTCCCTTTATTCAGGAGAAACGTTTCGGTTTTATATCCCTTTATTCAGGAGAAATGTTTCGGTTTTATATCCCTTTATTCAGGAGAAATAATTCAGTTTTATATCCCTTTATTCAGGAGAAACGTTTCGGTTTTATATCCTTTTATTCAGGAGAAACGTTTCGGTTTTATATCCCTTTATTCAGGAGAAATGTTTCGGTTTTATGTCCCTTTATTCAGGAGAAACGTTTCGATTTTATGTCCCTTTATTCAGGAGAAATGTTTCGGTTTTATGTCCCTTTTTTTCAGGAGAAACGTTTTGGTTTTATATCCCTTTATTCAGGAGAAATATTTCAGTTTTATGTCCCTTTATTCAGGAGAAACGTTTCAGTTTTATATCCCTTTATTCAGATATTTTTCAGTTTATGCCATTTAACTCATGAGATATTTTTGTTTTATGCCCTTCACGATGTTCTGTAGTTTACTGGTAATAATTTTAAAATCACTATAACAATTAGGGTTGGTACCTACAGGTATTAACTCCAAAATAATTACAAACTGGTAGTTTAAACTCTTGGCATTAAGATATAAATTATCTTAATTATATAAATATAACTTGTAAAACTTTCCTCTGAAAACTTGGGAGTATATTTTTTAGATTTTATATAGTATGACAAAGTACTCAAATTACCTGATATACACAGTCTAAAAACATGAGGAATGTAGGACTATGTTCTTTTGTTCTTGCAGCTGGACTAACAAAAGGTCCATGTTGACAGCGGACAGTGAAGGGATGTCCACCTTGCAACCACTCTCTTTCAACCAAAGCTTCAAATCCACGGACAGTCCGACAGTCGGGGTCAAGTATTATTTGTGCCAAAGCACAAACCTGGAGAGTGGCATCCATCCCTTCCCCACCATGTACTAACACTGACGATTCTGTAAGATCAAAAGGATCACAAAATATATTACCAGCCTTCAAATTAAATGACTAAAAAATTTAATTACTGTATTGGTTCACCTCTGAATTTGGTAGTATAATCCATGTTGCATCTGATTTTATATGTAACAGCCTCCTAGAGTTGAAAAATGTTTAATATCATAAAGCTACGCTCACCAGTATAAGCCATGAAAAAAATAAAGTCAAGAAATAAGTATTGAAATTAATACAAATTAAACAGTCATCATACTTAAGCATAGCTTTTCCAGTCTCTACTTGTCAAGAAAAACGTTTGTACGTTTGTATTTTGTGTAATAAGATATAAAACCTTTCAAAAAAAAAGTCACCTTGGACCATCTTCAATAACTGGTGTTATTGGTCATACCTAGGACCATCTTCAGTAACTGATGTTATTGGTCACACCCAGGATCATCTTCAGTAACTGATGTTACTGGTCACACCTAGGACCATCTTCAGTATATGATGTTATTGGTCACACCTAGGATCATCTTCAGTAACTGATGTTATTGGTCACACCTAGGACCATCTTCAGTAACTGATGTTATTGGTCACACCTAGGACCATCTTCAGTAACTGATGTTATTGGTCACACCTAGGACCATCTTCAGTAACTGATGTTATTGGTCACACAAAGGGATTAGTGCCATTCAAAGATACGAACATTATAGGAAGGTGTAGCAAGATTTTATTTTATGTTGATAAAAAAAGCTTTGATTTCTGATATTTTACTGAACCTCTTGTAATGGACCCATACAGTGTTTTGTTTGGAAAACCACAGAACTTCAGTTCCAGAATCACTGGACTGTCCTCAGCACTCACTATGTGCACGTATAATAAACGTCGATGAACAACCAGTTAAATATGATTTGTTCTACTACAATAACATTTAAGGTATTTTAATGAGAAAATAACAACAAGTAGTTGCAAAGACACTCTTATGTTATTATCCTTTTTTGCATTTCTTAAAATCTATTAAAACAAAAAACATCAATATTCTGTCAAACTTACCATCTTTGTCAAGACACTGGGCAACAAGACAAGCGCATGTGAGAATATCTTTCACGTGACTCAGCCAACCCGAGGACTCCAGCTTTGAAAGCCATTTGTCCACACTACCACTGGTATCATTACAAGCTGTATTAGAAATTAAAAGTAAAACTGAAATATTTCGATACTGAAAGTGTTACAGATATTTTCAGACTCTCTTACAATAATGTTTTTCAGGTTTATATTTAAGTTGTTTGATATTCTGACGTTAAGCCATTCCAAGCTCAATTTAGGACACTTTCAAGGTTAAGTTAAGCTATAATTTTGCTTTTATAATTTTTAATTTACTAAAATTTTAAGCTCTAATGCAAACTTCTAATGAATGTTAAGGTATCCTAACCATTTATTATCCCAAGTAAAATATTCAGTACCATCCCTGTTATTTTCAGATCACATATGTTTTAGGAATTAAAATTACTTTGTCTCTCGAACCATCTTTAGAAGTCTCAGTCAACAAAAACTGAACACTATGACAACTGTTATCATCTAATTAAGATCCTAGTTGTTATATCCAAGAGTGAAATCATTCATGCGTAAAGTATGTAACTTGTGGGATCAATTATAATAGTGTTTCAATTTCGTTATGCCACTTGTACGTCATTAATGATTCTGTAACAACAAAATCATAAACCTACATGATACATGCTGCATAAATAGCTTAGAAAAGCTAGTGGAGTCGAATAATTTCAGTATTACACACGTGAAAAATTACAGAGAAAATAAGCAATATTGTTACTTTAACACATCAAAACCTGTGGTTATCAACATGTTTTATCATTACGGACAAAAAGGAACCATTTGGTCTTCCAAAGCTGTCCTTGTACACTAAACCTGTGAGAATAAATACAAATTTAAATTCACCTTTTATTTTTCATAAAACAACTAGTGACCTCTAAATTTAAAAATGAAGGAACTAATATAGTCCAACTATACTTTTTGTAAAGATGGGACAAACTTTGTTATTGTTAAGCAGAAAATTACACAATGTGTTATCTGTGTTCTACACACAATAGGCTTCAAAATTAATGTTTTTAGTGCTATAAGCACTCAGACTTACCGTTTAACTACAAGGGTGGGGGCTACTAAAGAACAATTAAAAACAGTAATTATCATATCTATACAGCATGCATGAGCTTTGTATGGTCTGAGATAGAGGCCAAAATGTTCCATGGCTTTTCCAGATTTTGGGATAATTTTCCATTTCTCTGATTTCATCCTTTTCTCAAATTTCTTGAATTTCTTATGGAATTTCAGACAGAATTAAGTACAAAATGTATTATATGTTCTAAATGCTTTTCAAGTTGTGACTTTATTATATTCAGAAATATTGTTTACAGAAAAATATGATATATTTATTAAAATTTGTATTTAATTAGTATGCCCAATATGACTTTGATTATAAAGTGTTTGGATAAGTTATGGCTATTAACATACATTTACACATAATGACTGAAATTTAACCAATCATCTGAAGTGCAACAAGACATCACACACACACACACACATAGTTAATTACTTAAAAAAACTTTAAAATACTTAAAGGAAATAGCCTAACCTTCAATTAGCTTCATGAGGGAATCCAGAAGAGTTGAATATCGATCAATAGGCTTGTGTATACGTCTCCACAGTGGATAATGCATCTCAGGTTCATATCCTCCACCTGTAAATTATTAGTCAAAAATGCAATTAGAAGGGAAATATTTGAACACTAAGTAAACTGTCACGACTAAGTCTAATTATCCTAAAAGCAATGACTGATTGATTACTGACTGTTATACTTAGAATAAACTCCTTTTAAGCTTAATCATCACAAAACAAGTAAATATAGTAGGTTTATTGTCATTCTGCAATTCAAACAAAAATCACAGCTTTCAGCAACAAAAACACTGTATTAACTTGTCCTCTCAGACATTGGTACAGTAATCTTCTGCACGGGTTAGATACTCGACCTTCAGAACAAATTAACTAAAATATGGGGAACTGTGCTTATTTCTGCAAGAAACGTTTTTAAAAGCTCTGCTAGTTCTCATCACCCTGACAACTTAAAATATAATCTTAAAGCACAATATAACATCAACTTCAAAATCATAATTTGATAAATAAATAGTTTATTGCTTCTCCATTTGAAAATGCATAGCTTTGCAGTAATGTAAAACACAACAGTTCAATGACAATTTTTACTAATAATCCTAATTTACCCTTCGTATTTGAGCAACTCTCTCTATATATATTTTATTTTTGAAGGTAAGGCTACACATGTATATTAATTATTATTATATATACTATAAACATGAGCTTTCTCCACGATTTCGCGGGATTCCGTGAATTTTATTTTTTGTGGAACGATATTATGAAATACAGTAGCGATTCTAACAGTTCTGTGATCTTCATGTTAAACACGTACATTTTGCTTATAAATACGTTTTTTTGGCGTTATGTATATCGTAAAAAGGTTTAACTTGTTTGATAAATATTAATAGGTTTGAATCATTGCTGGGAGACTATTTGTATACACCGTGTATTTTCGTGTAAATATGATAACTTGTAAGGACTTCCAACATTTTCGGAAACAGATCACCGCAGACGAACCAATAAGAACACATATCACAACCGGAAGTGCATTCTGGCACCGGTCGGCGGCTTCTGTGAATGGACATGTTTTCATTGCTAGTTGCTAGAATGCCAGGAGTGTTTGCAATTGGACAGACTTCTCAAACTGATGATGCTATTATTGTTCTTCGAACATGTAAGCCCGGCCCACTGCTGCAAAGGGTAATTTTTTAATGCAGTGTGGTGTCGTGCCATAAGCCATATGTCCCCCCCCCCCCGCATGCTTATCGTACAATTTTAATAACCCCAAATCCATGTATAAATATGTAATTAATTATATATTCAAAATATTTGTCTGTATTGGAAACCCGTGAGATAAAATTTTTTGACTATGCTTCCCCCCCCCCCCCAAAAAAAAAGAAGAGAAGAAGCTGCATAACGTCATTCATAGGCAATATAAATAATTTTAATGTGCCATATGCTAATAAAGGTTGTTGAGAAGAAAGATATGCCATCTCTAAGAGGGTGTTTAAACAAACAAACAAACACGGTGTTGGAAAGAGATGCGTCTGTGAATGACAAACGTAATTAGGTGTCGATTTAGAAATAAAAAGTTATTTGTATCAACAAAATATTGCCTCAATTGCAACGGAAAGACAGTCTCATTGAGAGCTCTTTGGGAGACTTCATTAGAAAGGTACGTATATCTATGAAAATAAAATATTGTGTATAAAAATAAGTTTTATTTTTAATGCCCTACATCTAGATCTAATGTAGGCTTAGGCGCAATGCTAAACAATGTATTACTGGTACTGGCGGTGCATCACGCTCAAACTTTCAAGTTTACCGTAAATATGTAGGCTTATCGGATGCATTTAATTTCCAAAGTTAGCCCTAATTATTAGGGCTAACTTTGGAAATTAGATAAATATTAGGCTAATATCAGTGACGTATAGAAAACACATTATTAACAGTTTTATTGGAGGTCCTACATCTAAGTTTACAGTAGGACTAGGCGCAATACTAAACAGTGTCGTACTAGTAGTGGTGATTTACGCTTTAAAATAAAGTTTACTGTAAATCTGTAGACCTATCGGATGCATCTAATTTCCAAAGTGACTAAAGCCTAACTAGTCTATGTTTCACCATATCGATCAATATATCAAATAAAACTGATTCATGTTAAGAAGGCCTAAGTTAATGCCAATAATGGTGCCCATTTTAAAACATAAAACACGTTTAACTAACTATATATTGTTCCTTTCAAACAGATAAGAAAATAATATGAGGTTAATGAATATACATAATTGGATTTACGAGTGTTTTATTTAAACTTTCATACTCGTAAAAGAACTCGCAATTAGGCCTCGGAATATGCCCAGATATCACCACAAAGCATTTGGAAATCTAAAAACCTTTATGGATGTATTGTTGAGAGATTTCTTTCAATCCAGGCTTACTTCTGGTAGCAATATACATAAAAGATGGGAATGAATTTGGTGGATACAATGTTTCTAAACAGTTTTTTACTTTTTCAAAAGGAAAATGTACCTGAACAGCTGCTTCTTAACCTTCACACATACAACTGTAGATTTCTTTGACTTTCTGATATGTTTTTAAGGTGTGATTTAAACTTTTTGTTTCATTTATATATTCTAAATGATATACTCATTCAGTGCATACAGAAGATGTAGGGGGGTAAGATTTGGACACCTAAACGTTTGGTGAAAATTGGTACAGTGGTTTGCTAGTTACAAACAAAAACATACACACACTGGTTGAACAATGGTTTAAATGTATGTATTTTTATGAGTAGGAGCAAAAAATAATGGTAGTTTTGAAAATTTAGGCCAACAGACACACAATCATCACCGGTAATAATCTTGTGGAATAAATCATTGCACAGGCTTATTAAATAAAATGACTCCAGTTTGATAAGGAATAAAAAAGTGCGAAGTCCAGACCAGAACTGTCAATATACAGATTTCTGTACCTAATACAGAACTCTAATACATACATGTATGTGTGTGTATACGTACCATAATTAAAAATGCACAAAAACATATTTTGCATATAAAAAACTAAAAGGAGAATAATTCTAAGCTATAATCGTAAAACAATAAATCCAAATCTAAATACAAATTTTCATTTTCAAAGATGGAAAAAAGGTTTTAACAACAGTATTCTCAATTGTAAAAAAAATGTATAATTATGATATTCTAATGTGCACTTATGCTATTTGTTCAGGAATATGATACAGTTATCTTAAGAGGTTATAAAAGTCTGGATAGTATTCTGTCTGTTAACACTGAAAACAATTATCAATTCACTGTAGACCTATTTGCAGCGATGTGTTGAATTATATTTCATTGTTTTGCTCCTAATTCACGTGTATTTAAAATTTTTAAAACCTTCACAAATTTATACTGACAATTTTCAGAAAATTAATACCTATAACAATGAAACAAACATCATAAACATCGTAGTCCTTCTATACAAAGGAAGTAAAAAAAAAGTCTTCTGATTTCATTAGATGAGAGACTGATGATCCAAATACTATGGTAGTACATGTAAATATTTCATTTTCTTATATTTAAAGTATATTTTTATGCTTAACTTAACTCAGTCTACCAAATATTAAACAGAGAAAAGTTAAATTATTTTTACCTGTTCCCAAAAAACTGTCAGCTTCAAGAAAGCAGCAATCAAACAAAAGAATGAAGGTTAGAAATATATTACTAGAAATGTATTCTGCTTATGACACACCTGACCATATTGTAAGGTCATGGCTCAATTATTTTATTTGTACAAAACATTTTCAGCTGATGATCTCCCAAGAATTACTTTCAGAAAAACAAATATCAGATTATTTCTTACTCGAGATAAAACATCTTTACATTTAAAGATAGTATTGTATAATTACATGTAAACTCTAACAGTTAAAACACAATCCTACAACAGCAATGTCAAGAAAAAATGTTTTAATTGTTACACGTTGCATACCATACGAAAAATGAATACAAGACACAATAAACAGTTGGTCACATTACAAAAATTTTTACCTTGACTATATAGGCAAGATTCCAGATTTTCCAGACCTACACTGGCAAGTATACAACATGCTGACAAAATCATGACAAAACATTTATATATCTAATTAACACAATTTTTAAATTGTAGTCTGTCCGTGAATGGCAAAAAAAAACTTTTGTAACATACTTTAGTTTATTATACTAGAGAAATACAATTCAAACAAGGACATAACAGCTTGATGGTGGATGATAAAATAACATATGGTACTGATCAAATTGATGTCAAAATACACCGTTAATTGGCTTAATTATGCAGTATAGTCTCCATGTATGTACGTGTGCAGGTTTAGAGGTAACAAAATAAATTGGGATAACTTTTAACTCTTCCCTAACTTTGAACTTTTATTTTATCAAATTCCCAAATTTATCAGGCTTGAGGCCATCCAGATAAATGACATTTTATTAAACTTACCCCATAAAAAAATTATTCAATTTCAGGAGTGTTACAAGTATACATGGAAGTCCCACTAATTCACTAGTTAATTGTTTATCTATATATATAAAGACAAAATGTGTGTGGAAAGAGTATGAACTATGGGGAATGTCCTAAGGGGGAGAAAGTTGAACTTAACCCTATATTTATTTTGTAAACCCTGTTGTTTAATTACTCCCAGCCTATTGGGACAATCTTGGCAAGTTCACGCTTTACACATTGTTGAATATTCTAAAGGGATTCAAGGTCAAAGTGTGAAAGTTGTTGGATTGTTTCTCAAACAACCATGCTTTTCTCATGGTCAATGAGATGTAGGGTGTTCAAGGGTGGGATCACCTCAAAATCTTTACTTGTTGGTAGATGGTAAGAAAATTAAAAGTGTTGTTTATGACGAAGCTTTGTTATAATTTAAAAATTTTGAGATGAAATTAATGTTTATGTTATTACTTTGAAATATATTATTGCTGTTAAGCTTACATTGTTTTAAGTACGTTTAAGCGATCCCCATCAGTTGACGGATATTTCAGCTTGTTGTCGATATAGGACAATTAGGTTGAGTTTGACAAAATAATTTTCCTAAAACTTGGATACAAAAAACAAAATATATTTAAGGAGTAAAAAATTAAGAATATGTTTGTTTCATTACAATTTGTACAAAGCCACTCGAGGGCTGTCTGCACTAGCCATCTCTAAATTAGAAGTGATAGACTAGAGGGAAGGCAGCCCATCAATCTTGGGCTACTCTTTATCCCAACAAAAAAGTGGGAATAACCATTACATTATAATACCTCAAGGGCTGAAACGGTGAACATATTAAGGGGTTTGAACCTGTGACCCACAGATTTTGAGTTGATTACCCAAACTTCCAAGTACAATTATGGGAATAAACCTTTGGAGAGAAATAT